TCTTCAGTCATTTGAGGATACAGAATAATGTAGATGAGGAAGTAAGGTTTTTCTTTTTGTACCTGAAGTCCGTGAAGCTAAAAAAAAACTGTTAAGGCAACACTTAAATCAGTATAGCGTCAGGTGAGTTAAGTAACAGACTGGTCTACTTTAAAAGTAGATCCTATCACCACACATTATCCCCATAAACTTTGACATGAATTCCTGAAAAGAAATCTACGGAAGCGTAGAGCTGCCACCCAGGCAAAAGAAAAATACAAGTGTATCACGTTATAACGTGAAAGGTTTATTGTTCTAACAAGATACTTTTCACGTTTGAACAACATAATATCACGTTATTACAATATACATAATTATCACGTTTGTACAATATAATATTTATATCGTACGAACGTGATAATTATATCTTACGAACGTGATAATTATATCTTACGAATGTGATAATTATATTGTACGAACGTGATAATTATGTATATTGTAATAACGTGATATTATGTTGTTCAAACGTGAAAAGTATATTGTACAAACAGGAAAAGTATCTTGTTAGAACAATAAACCTTTCACGTTATAACGTGATACACTTGTATTTTTCTTTTGCCTGGGTGGCAGCTCTACGCTTCTGTAGAAATCAGTGAAACTGTTTAAAAAATTACTATTTTTAAAAATTAGTTGATCTCTTAAATTTTAAGAAAAACATGTAAAATTGCCAAGCTGTAGCTCATTGATTGTCCTGTCAGAAAATTATATTTTATTTATTTTTACAGTGTATCATTGTTTTTTTTTTTAAAAAAAGGGAAAAAAGATGACGTTTTCTGTCATTTAAATTTTTTATCTATTATCTAAATACTTTGGTGTATCATGGGGGAGATCTTTATCAGTAAAGATAAAGCTGTAAAACATAAAGCCGGATTAGAGTCTTTGCTGATCTGACTTTGCTGATCTGGCTCCCAGCCCTTATGTTTGACACCCATAATCTAAACCAGGGTTGGTCAACTCCAGGCCTCGAGTGCCGGTGTCCTGCAGGTTTTAGATCTCACCCTGGGTCAACACACCTGAATCAAATGATTAGTTCATCACCAGGCCTCTAGAAAACTTCAAGACATGTTGAGGAAGTAATTTGGCCATTTAAATCAGCTGTGATGGATCAAGGACACGTCTAAAACCTGCAGGACACCGGCCCTCGAGGCCTGGAGTTCGACACCCAGATCTAAACTGTGTTAAAACACCACCTCCTGGTGGTGACATTTATATCTAAAGTTGCAGAAGGAAATTACATAAAGTACCTTTAAAGCTCAGTGAGGATGTAAAAGCTTTATCTACCTAACCCATCCAGTTTAACTCCAGACACTGGGTTAATGTGTTCCGATCAGATTCCACTGACTGGTCTAAACATGAAACGCTCCAAGTTATGAAGCAATAACAGGCACGGGTCAAGTAGAGGTGAGGTGCCTGCATTAGGCGCCAGTTGTGGCATGAGTTCAGGTTTATTAATAGGCTTAAACACGGGCCAGCTTTAGGGCTTAAACTTGGCCCTGGGTATGAAATGCTGGAGGTTATTACTGGTCCCGGGTCACCACATGCTGCTAAGAAACCAAGCCAGCCCCTCCTGTTACAACATCTGCCATGACTTTTTGATTCAGCTCAGTCCCAGCCACCCAATCCCACGGCTGCTTATTCCACCGAGAAGAGCTAAAAAGAAACACAAATACGGATCTCTGTTTTCTAGTTGTGACTCTATGCTCCCATCATTCATAGCAAGAAGCTGTTAAACAAGAAGTGCTTTCAAAGCCTTTAGGACGTAGCTGCCGAGGAGTCTTTATGTATGCCCTGTGTGTTCAGTGCACTGCTCGGTGCCTTCTGAGCAGTTGTAGTTATCTAGTTGCAGAGCACGAATCCATTGCTTCCTGCTAAATAAATGTTCCTTTAACCACTCAAACATTTATTTCTAGTGGAAATGTTAAGAGGAGAACATGACCGCTTGGCAGGGTATTTCACTTTGACTCTGTCTTAATGGACTCTTAAGTGCACAGAAGAGCTTTTTTGCTTTAAGTTACCTGCAGCAAGCAGAGAATTATGGATAGCAACAACAACGTCCCGTGTTTCCCTGCCAAGAAGGTTAGGTTTGTGCTGCTGTGAGTCAGTTTGTCTTTTTTTTAGCAGGATGAGGTGAAAACTACTGGGGCACATTTTTGTGAAGGCTGGTGGATAAGTGGAGTGTACTGAAAGGAATTTGGAAGACAGGAAGCAGCGACCTCTCCGGGTGAACAGTGAAACCAACAGTTGGACGCAACTACAGTTCCTGGAGTGGCCACTTGAGGCAGACTGCAGAGGTGAGCCAATCCCCATGGACTTTCGTGTTAAAATGACCGACTTTAGAGCTGAAATACAAGTTTACAGCTCAGTATGAAGAGATATCTTTGTAATCTTTAGGCAGATTCCCCCTTCATAATAGTAATTGCACTTTTGGTCATTTTTTTTTATGCACCTTTTTCATGAATGGTGTACTGCTGTGTACGGATTCCTTTGATTAACTGAGTTCATATAGGGCTGAAATCTCAAATGTTCCCAATATTTGAGATTTCCCAAATGTTCCCAATATTTGGGATTTCACTCCTAATTTTACAACAAAGTTGGCTCACCACTTTTTTACAGTCTCTAACAGACTTTGCACACATCCAATCACAGCATCAGGAAAGCTCTTAGAGGGAGGTGGAATGGTGCTGCTGTAAGATTAGTATTTAAAGGCTCTTTTAAAGTTCCTATCCATAGCTCCACTACATCTTAGTGGACCTATGGATCGGATGCTGTCTTTTTGTAGTCCCAATAGATTTCACAGCCTTGAACATTCAAGGATTTTGCAGATTTGCAGGTAACGAGCTTGTTTTGTCTGGCTCATGCAGGAAATAATAAAGAAGGGAGAGCCACACAACAACAGCTTCCACCAAGCCAA